TCAGCAGTAGTAACAAACATAATCAGAGAATCAACAAACATTGGGAGCTTCATGTTTCCAAGTTGGAAGGGACCTTATAAATAAACAGTTTCGTTCAAAACGCAACCCATTGCTCAGATCCATTTTCCAGCATCCCTGCCATATGGTTATCCCACTACTATTGGAAATGAGTAAGATATACCCTTCCCTGCATCCCTACGTGGCAGGTACTGTGCCACACATCATCCATCCATCCATCTCAAGTGACCCCCTGTACACCCAAGGTGTGGAGATAATTATGGGAGACCTTACACTGGATGATAGGTTCTGGTGCTATTTCTGAGGCTAGAGAGACCTGGGTTTAAATACCTACCTGCCCGATGTGTGTACCTCAGTTTTCTCATCTGTAAAATAGCAATAACAGTTGCATAGCTTCAGAGGCTGCTGAGAGATGTATGCAGAGTGCCTGACACATGGACATATTGGCCACTATTGGAATAATAATTATCCCCATTTTATAGATACAGAAAATGAGACTCAGAATGGTGAGGTGACTGTCCTAGGTCACCCAACCAGTGAGAAGCTACACAGCACAGCCCTGGAGGTCTGCTTGCCCAAACAACCATATGTCAGGGTCACCTGGAGTATCAAATTTCAGGGCTCCACTTCAACCCCACTGAGTATGAATTTCTGGGCCAGAATCTGTGCTTTTTAGAAGCTCCTTAGGCAACCCTGAGGCTCCTGGTCGTGCATTTGGAACCATTAGCCAGGAGCTTCCCAAGTCCTCTTTAGGGGATGGGGAGTTTGCTACCTCCATCACTGCCTGATGCGTATGGATGGGCCTTTCCTCACATCCCAAAACCAGAGCAGAGAGAAAGCCTCCCATTGGGAGAGTTATTCAAGGCTCTTCTCCCGCCATGCTCACCCCTGAAGATCTGGGGAGGGGGGAGGGCTCCGACCCTCCCTCCCACCCACTTGCACTGGCATCCGGCCCAGAGCGTTATTCATTAGGTGGCTGGGAGCGGCCTGGCCCCCATCAGACACCTGTTACAGGAGCCCGGACTTCCCTCTTAGTCCCAGTGTCCCAGGGGCCTGTAAATCATTCATCCCAGGCCCTCTCCCCGCCCCACCGCTGTCACGCACCTCCCTGCCTCCTCCCTCCTGGGCTCGCAGGGTGGCACAGGTGTTCACAGGAAGGGAAGGGAGTTGCTCGGGGCAGTGGGGAGTTCTGGCCCAGAGCTGGGACTGGAGCCCAGGCTCCTGACTGTCATTAAAAATACAGATTCACATCAGCACATGGTAAAAATTTAAACATCCCAAAGACTCCCTCCGACCTGTGGCTCTCCAGCCTCCAGTCCCCTCTCCAGGCAGCCTCTATTGTTGGCTTATTGTATATTCTTTCAGAAAGAACTCTCTGGGTGTGCAAACATGTTTGAGTGTATGTGTATTCTATTTTTATCCAAAAATAGTAACATTAATATTCACAACATTCTGTCTTGCATTTTTAAACAATAGATTTTTAGAAATTGCTCCATATTGGCACATATTGGGGCTTTATAATTTCTTTTGAATGACTGCATAATGCTCCTGTCTGGATGTACCATCTCTTATCTAATTAACCAGTCTCGACTCATAGGCATGTGCATTGTCCTTAATTTTGTGCTATTTGGAACAGTTAGCGCTTTGGTCATTTTTCTGTGGGATCAGTCCCTGCAAGTGGGATTAATGGGTCAAAGGGCATGTGCATGTTAAGTGAGGCTGAGATCACCAAGCTGGGCTCCAAGGAGCATGCTCCAGTTATCATTCCCCAGACAGCAGATGGGACTCCCTGGTTCCTGGACCACACAGTGCGATGTCAAACATTTGGTTCTCTGACAGAGCCATTTTCTTAGCAATAAAACTATGCTTTGAGCAGCTCCACCAGATAAAAGTTGGCCAGTGGGTTCCTGAGCCCACCAGCCCCTCTCCTGGGCCCAGAGGTGGGGTGACAGGGCCTGTGGGCTGGGCCTTCACTGGCAGCCTTGCTAGAACAGAGAGGAGCTAGAGCCTCATCTCCCATCTAGTTCCCCACCCCCTCAACCCCCCACCAGCCACCAAGGTTGAAGGGGAGGACCCTGGGTTGGAGGTCAGGAAACACATGAGCCTGGGTTTATACCACTACCAGGCAGGATGGCTGTCAGCAAGTGCACCTTTCTGAGCCTCAATTTTCCCCATCTATGAAACGGGTGTGATGGACCCTCACTTACTCACCAGAAAGGGTGGGAGTGAGTGCTGGATGCCTGAGGGTGTCTTTGTTACCTCTGTTTAAAATCTCTCAGGCTGAAGTTTGGGTGGGTAGGGAGTCTCATCCCCCTACTTCAGGCTGTGATCTTCTGGGCATTTTTTACCTTGGGCCATCCAGCCCCAGCCCAGGGCTCTCAGGGACCTGCCCTCACCATGGTCCGGGCCCTCCCTTCCAAGAAATACAAGTAGATGAGTGGTCTGCTGTTTGAGCATCTGCTGCCAGTGCCTAGAACCTCATAGCAGGCTCTGTGGACCCTAAATCTGGTGGCGTGAGGAGCTGTGCACTAGAGCAGGAGCAAGCGCTCTAGGCCCAGTGACATGGCCTTGGGCAAGTTCACGCCTGCCTGGGGCTTCAGTGACCCTGACTGCACAGGGAGGTTGGACTAGAAGGACTCACAAGGCCACTCTTTGGACCTCTGGCTGCCGTATAACCATCCTGACCCTCGGTCTCTTCATCTATAAAGTTGGAGGAGACCAAGCTCCTATGACCCCTTCTGGCTTTAGCCTAGTGAACCCAGTGGGGCTACGGGTTCAGAGCTCTGCTGGGTTCCAGTGGTGGTGACATTAAGCAAAACTGTTTTTGAGCCGGCGTTGAATTTTCTAGGTCAAGGAGGGGCCCCATCTGGAGCCAAGGCCTTAGCAGCCACTCCCTTGTCCCTCTCCTGGGCTAGGCCTGGCTGAGGGCCGAGGCTGTCCCGTGCTATGTCGGGCAATGGGCTGAGGTCAGTGGATGTGGAAGAGTCCAGTGTGGTTCTGCTGCTCTGGCAGGAAACCCAAGGAAAACAGCCCAGGAACATCTGCTGTCTCCTGTTCTCCACAAACCATTTGGCTCCTGGGGAGCCCAGTGGCGGTCCTGCCAAGCAGCGTGGGCTGGTACATAGTTAGGGGTGGGGGTAGTTAGCACAGGGGTGCTGAAGGACCAGCAGGGCCAGAGCTGGGACTAGGAGAGTGAAGGTCAGGCTGTTGTGGGGGTGAAGTGGGATGGGGTTCATTGTTACTCAGACCTGCCACGCCCTGGTGGGACACATGGGTGGGTCTAAAAGTGCCTGCGCGTGCCTCCTGTTTATAGCCACGTGCTCGGCTTCTTACCAAAGGAAACTGGTGTTTAGTCAGGCCCCCACACTAGCGCAAGCCAAGCATGACTCTTAATATTCTCTCCAGACAGACCTCTGATCCCAGCCCGAAAGCGATTCTGATATTAACCCCAGTTGGTCCTCAAATCTAGTTCCTGGCCCCAGGCTGAGCCCTGTGTGGAAGCCAAGCCACCGCCTTCTCTCTCCTGGGTTATGGCAGGTCTCCCTGCTTTTCCTTCTTCTCGCCAGTCTGTTCCCCATGCAGTAGCCAGAACAATCCTAAAACTGACATCAGACCTTATGGCTCCTATCCCAGGCAGAGTAAAACTCAGACCTCTTTCCATGGCCCGGAGGCCCTGCATGACCTGCCCCCTCCCCTTGCTCACTGTACCCACCAGCCCCCTCCCCCACCCCAGGCACCAGCCTCCTCAGAGCAGGCATACATTCCTACCACAGGGCCCTTGCACCTGATAGTCCCTCCACCTGCAGACCTCTTTTCCAGACAGCTGCATGGCCCTATCCCTCACCTCCTTTAAATCTTTGCTTAAATACTGCTTCAAGGTAAGACCATCATAGGTCTTAGATCATAGATCACTCTATTTAAAATCACAACCTCTCTCCTCCCTAAATTCCCAGTCCTCCTTCCCTTTCTCTGAAATATTTATCATCAATTAACGTAGCAAATAATTTCTATATTTATTTTTGCCCATCTCCCTCCAAGGGCAGATTTTTTTTCTCACTGTGCTTGGCCCACAGCAGGAGCTCAGTAAATATTTGTGGGCTGAGCAAAGTACTCCTGCTCTATGCCTGGGCACAGGCTGGCGTGTGGATGGCCCCAGGCAGACCAGCCCCCAGCTCCTGGAGCAGCTCGAACTCATGGCTTGGTGTCTAGAACCAAGGCCTTTTGAGGAACCTGACAGGTCCTGGGGAACCACCAGCAGCCCCAGTCCTTTTTTGTTTGATTTTGGGGCCAGCAACCTCCAGGATCGGACAGGAATTGAGGTGCATACACCACCCCAGGACAGTTCCTGCAAGCTTCCTGCCCGCCTCTGCCTGTGGCGGCCCTTCCTGCTCTCCTCGTGCACAGGAGAGAGAAGCAGCTGATGTCTCGTTAGCCTCAGTCTACCCTTGCCTGCCAGGTGATCCTGCAAGTCTCTGGTGCTCATGTGTGTGGTCTGAGGGCCACTGAATCAGAACCACCTGGGGAGCTCATGAAAAATGCAGATTTCACCCCAGAGCGTTCTGCTTCGCATGCGCAGTGACGCCCTGGAATCTATTTTTCGCAAGCTCCCCGAGGGTCTGTTGCGCAGCTGCACCTGGGGATCGTTGCCTGAAAGCTGGCGGGGTTGGAAATCAGAGTAAGGCTCTGGGTCAGGAGACCTGGACTGACACCCCGACTCCACCAGTGGCTTTCTGGGTAACCCTGGGCAAGTTGCTTCCCCTCTCTGAGCCTTAGGCCCCCCACCCCCACCCCAATGGGCATGAGAGCAGCGCTCGCCTCCCAGGTTGGGAGTCCCCAAGCCTGAGCCTGAGGGAATGCTTGTTACTCACTTAAGGTCCTTCTTGGGGGGGGCCTGGACTACTCTTCCTCCTGGGTGCCCTACTATGGCCTTTTGCAAGCTCCCCTCCCTACTCACCGCTCCTCCTGGCTCCTCTGCTTCTCAGGTAAGACCCGGACCAAGGACAAATACCGCGTGGTCTACACCGACCACCAGCGCCTGGAGCTTGAGAAGGAATTCCACTATAGCCGGTATATCACCATCCGGCGGAAGTCGGAGCTGGCCGCCAATCTGGGCCTTACTGAACGCCAGGTGTGTAGGACCCTCACCTCATCCACAGAGCAGTACTGGGAGTCTGGCCTCCAGGCTGCCAGGCAGATTGTGGAGCTCGGTTAGGGGAGGAGAACAGAGAGGTTGAGTCTCCTGGCCATGTCACACAACACAACAGAAACTGAGCTCCTGCCAAATCCCATCTAGCCCCCAACCCCGTGCCTCCCCGCCCTGGCCAATAAAACCCAGTATCCCTGACCACCAATAAGAGGATAGGGGACCTGATTAGCTATAGGCTACAGCAGGCTTTGATCAACGCTGGTTAAATCCAGAGGAAGGAACAGTCAGGGAGAACAGGGAAGGCTTCCTGGAGGAGGGGTGTCAGAACATGGCTTTGGAAGACGGGGAGGAAGAGGGTTATAGAGAAAGTTGTCTTAAGAGTAGGGGAGGTGGGGAAGGTACAGCTCAGTGGTAGAGCGCATGCGTAGCATGCACGAGGTTCTGGGTTCGATCCCCAGTATCTCAAATAAATAAAACTAATTACCGCCCCCCGCCCGAAAAAAAGAGTAGAAGAGCAAGTTCTAGAGGGGGAGAATGGGTTCAAAGTCCATTCCAGTCAGGGTAGCTGGAGCAGGAGCGAGGCCCCAAACGCCACATCGGGAAATAAGAGCCTCACTGTCCCCTGGGTCTTCCTTTTCCTCTGTCATTTGGTCTCCGCAACACCTACTCCATCTCTGTCCTCTGATCCCACAGGTGAAGATCTGGTTCCAAAACCGGCGGGCAAAGGAGCGCAAAGTGAACAAGAAGAAGCAACAACAGCAGCAGCAGCAGCAGCAGCAGCCCCCACAGCCACCCCCGCCGGCCCATGATGTCACCCCAACTCCAGCTGGGCCGTCCCTGGGGGCCCTGTGCCCCAGCTCCGCCAGCCTCCTGGGCACCTCCTCCCCGATGCCTGTCAAGGAGGAGTATCTTTCATAGCCCCCCAACTAGCTTTGCAGGCTGGGGGCCTCGGGGACTCAGGTGCTGGGAACGTGGCTCCTGTTGGGACTCAGGAGGCCTGGTCTGAGTCCCAGCCTTGCCACTGACCTTCTGAGTAACCCTGGACAAATCACCCACCCAGCCCCTGCATCCCCTGGGCCCGTCCATGCAGTGAGCTTGTTGGATAAGGACCTTTTCCAGCTGCGGTGCTCTAGGCCTCAGGGGGATAGGGAGCCTGGGGTGGGAGGTCTCAATTCCCAGGGGGCTGAGTGAAGGAGCCAAGATAAATCACCAGGCCCTACCTCCTCCTCCATAGGCTCAAAGGTGGGAGGCTGCTATAGGGACAAGACTCCTGGAGAAAGAAAATGGAAGGCTTGCAGACCATGCCCTGAGTGGGGGGAGGGTGTCAGCTCACATCTGCCTTTTCCTGCAGCCTCACCTTTACCTGCCCCCATAATGACATGCCCTGAACCCTCCCCAGGTGGGATGCAAAGCACACAGCCTGCAGGACTGGACCTGAGCAATAGGCTCTGATGACCATCCCTTCTGGGTAGCAGAGCCATGTCCCCTCACTAGCATTCTTAGTGGGGGCTCCAGATTGGGGAGAGGCCCCGGAAGTGGGGCAGGGGGCAAAGTCCACTCTGCCAAGTTTCTACCACCCCACCAGGCTGTTCCTGAGGGCCCAGGCCCCAGGGAGCCCCCAAAGGACTTTCTGGACCAAGCAGACCTCACAGCTAGGCAAGTGTTACACAGAGAGTGGAATCTCTTGGATGCAGCTTCAAGAATAAATTTTTTTCCTCTTTTTAAAAATGTATAAAAATCATTATACATAGCATGAAAAGAAAATGTTAAAGAAGTGTAAATCATCCTTACCCTTCTCAACAACTGCATAGTCCCTTCCGGTCTCTGTAGGCCCTTTAACAAGGTCACCTTTAAAATACATTTGAAAGATCAAAACAGGACACAGTTAGAGTGAGTTTATGAGACTGTAAAATTTTAAGTTCATTTTGTAAGCAGAATCATCAGCTTCAATCTATCAGTCTTTTGACTTTTTCAAATACTTTCAACTCAGCTTTTTCTTTAAACAGATGACATCTGCTGGGCACTCCATGTCCCAGGCATGGCTGGGCCTGGGGAATGCACAGACCTTGCCCCTCAGAAGTTCCCAGTCTGAGCTTTAGATATCAGGGGGGCAGAGCACCCAGGGAGTCCAGAGTGAGCTCCCAGCTTATCCTGGAGAATCTGGAAGGCTTCCTGGAGGAGGTGATGTTTGAACTGAGGCCTAAAAGACTAATGGTTGCTGTCAGGTTAAGAAAGAGGAATGATAAAATAGATTACAAGCACTATGAACTTAAAGTATAATTTTTAAAATCTCCTGAGAAAAGCTGCTATTTTCAACTCCTGTCCAGAGGTGGGCAGGAGTCTGCTACTGGGGGCTTTCACTCCCTAGAGGGCTCTGGTGCCAGCTGCCTGCCCCTCTGTTTACTGTTCTGGGAGGTGGCCCAGCCATAAAAAGTGTGTGCAGCCTGCCTGCCTGCCCTTTGCTCCTGGGGCACATGACAGCAGTGCACAAGGTGGATCCAGTCCCCACTCGAGCCCCTGAAGAGCAAAGGCTCTTCTTTCTCCTCCTGTAGGTGGCCTGGGAGACATCATGGCTGCACTGAGGATGGTGGGCATGGGAACCAGGTAGTATCCGGGAAAAGAACCAGGATTCCAGGAGCAGAGGATGAGGGTTGGGAGCAAGGTGGCTGGCAGTGAATGAATACAGTTTTCTGATCTTTAAAAACATTTGCTGTGTGCCCCTGGGTTAATTACTTCCCCTCTCCGAGCTTCATTTCCCCCTCTGGAAAGCTGGGGAGCTTGTTTACCAAGAAGAAATGGATCTGGTCAACTAAGTCCTACAGATTCAACCCTAGTGGGAGAGTCACAGCGTTGCATTAGCACATCAAAGGCTCTGACAAGTCCCACAGCAAAGAAACCCCTTGAATTTTCTTTAATCCAGCATTCCCCATACTTCACTACCCAGGATTCCCCTACACCTACCAGAACCCCCACTGAACACTGTGCACTCTGGAGCGTGGGGATGCTGTGGGCTGGAGGGCCACGCTTCAGCTGTGACTCAGTGATCAGTAGCAGATTTGCTGTCACATGGCCTGGACTCCAGCTTGATTTCTTCCAAGCTGTGAGACTTCAGGCAAGTTACTTAACTTCTCTGAGCCTCAGCTTCCCCATTTGTCAAATAGAAATGAAACACTCTAACCTGGCTCAGAATTGTGTTTAGCACAGGGCCCAGCACACGGTAAGGGCTGTGTTGTAGCCACCTGCTCACAGGCTGCTGCATCCTAGTGTGAGATGCTGGCAGGCCTGACTGATGTTGTAACTACCCCCACCCCCAGTGCTGAGGACAGATGGTGGCTGGGAAGATCTGAGGCAGAACAAGCCTGTCACCAGCCACAGGAAGACCTCTGCCCAGTAGGAGGTCAGTAGCCAGGCCTGGCAGGCTGGATGAGCTGCAGCTGCCACCTACACA